GTATGGATGATAGTGTGAGTACGTCCTAAGAAAAGCATTTTTTGCAGTGTAGGCCCTATTGGAATTGCTCCGTTTCTTATTCTTATTATTCTTATTCTTCTCCGGAATGAATCGTGATTTTGAGGGGCTAAACATGCCTGAAACTTACAGAAGTGGCGAAAATTTACGTTTCTTATGGGTTTCGGAAGTGGGCGTGGCAAAATGACTCGACAGCGCCACCTATGCACTTTTGACGGACTGGCCCCCAAGCTACGAATCACGCACGCATATGAAAATTGGCACACACGTCAAACACGCCAAAACCTACAAAAAATCTCAAACCCAACCGGAAGTGGGATCATTTTAATTTCCTGCGGTGAAAAAGTGGCGTTTTTGCCATTTCCAGGCGTTGTATTTTAACGAACTCCTCCTAGGGATTTTATCCGATCGACACCAAAATTGGGTTTTGTCATCTAAAAGCCTTGGCTATGTTAAATTGCGAAGATCTAGAGTTTTTGTCGAAGGGCGTGTCCGTGGTGGCCTCACAAACTTCGATGATTCGCCACGAAACAGGAAATTATTATAACTCAGCCAAACAATGTCTGATCTGCCTGAAAATTCACATGGTTGATTAAAATCCACTCCTGAAGACATCTACATGCCGATATTGAGTCACAGTCATAGCGCCACCTGCTGGCAACAGGAAATTACATATAACTCAGCCAAACAATGTCCGATCTGCCTGAAAATTCACATGGTTGATAAGATTCCTCTCCTGAAGGTATCTACATGCCACTCTTGAGTCACAGTTATAGCGCCACCTGCTGACAGGAGAAAGTTTGGCATAAATCTGTGATTTTCTCATGTTATTTATATATATATCAGCTTAAATTAATGTTGTTCGCTGTTCTCTGTCATACTGAGGCCACCGGGCGGCGGTGAGCCCGAGTGAGAGGTCCCTATCATCGCTGCTTGCAGCTTTAATTGGATTTGTGTTTCTAAAAGCATTAAAGAGAGCTTGTGTTGTTGTGTGTAGACGAGCAGAACACGCACGTACACACGCACACAAAAACAGAAATATAGAATAGAAATATAGAATAGAATACCTTTCAAAATAGAAAGGTGATATATAAAAAAAATCAAACCATTGCTAAAAAATAAAATAAAATCAAATACAAACTACAAATAATTAAACTTAATTTTTTTAATGTTTCATGTTTATTAAAATTTTATTTAATATTTTTCACAACAAATTAGTCTGTGTGTAGTAATTTCTGAACTGTGATCTTCAGTTTTTTTGTTAGATTAGCTCATCAGTTTGTGGTACTGACTAATCTAATGTACAGTTGAAGTCAGAGTTAATAGCCCCCCTGTTTATTTTTCCCCAATTTCTGTTTAACAGAGAGCAGATTTCTTCAACACATTTCTAATCATAATAGTTTTATTAACTCATCTCTAATAACGGATTTCTTTTCTCTTCACCATGATGACAGTAAATAATATTAGACTAGATATTCTTCAAGACACTTCTATACAGCTTAAAGTGACATTTAAAGGCTTCACTAGATTAATTAGGGAAACTAGGCAGGTTAGGGTAATTAGGCATTAGGGTAACTAATGTATAACAATGGTTTGTTCTAGGGCTGCACGATATTGAAAAAAAATGACTGTGATATTTTTTTCCCGGCGATATATATTGCGATATTTTATACATATATATATATATATATATATATATATATATACTTAAGGCTATACTTTTGCAGACATTACATACAGTATCACTGATTTATCTGCTGCAACACTGACTGTAACATTCTTCCACAGAGAACTAGAGCAAGTTTTTTTTTACCCCG